TAATTTGATATTTATTTATTTATTTAATTAGGTTAATTTTAATTAGTTGGTTGATTTTTAATTTTATTTTTATTATAAAATTTTAATTAATTGTTAGTTAGATTTAATTATATTTGAATGAGGGTTGGCTTGATTTAGGTTTAAAATTAATTAGGTTTGAATTAGAATTAATTAGGTTAATTTTATTTATACTTAATTAATTAATTAGGTTAATTTTGATTAATTGGTTGATATTTAATTTTATTTGTATTGAAAATTTTTAATTAATTTTTATTTAAATTTAATTAGGTTTGAATATGAGTTAATTTGATTTTGGTGTATATAATTATTAAAGTGTGTTGAGATACATTGTAGCGTATCGAACTCGAGGGATCGAAGACCCTCGAGAATTGAGGAGAAATAAGGTTGGTTAAATGTTCTACAATGAAACCGAGAGGATGTGTTTGAGATTTGATTTTGATAGAGTATCCAAGGCAAACATTATTCTCGGTGTATGCAAACCGATAGTGATGACACCGTTAGTGCAAGTGTGTAGGCCCGTGGACTTAATAGTTGTGCTTGACATGTCGGCATCCCCACCGGTAATGCCCTTTCCAATAATGCCCTTGTTGATAGTACCTCCAGCTATGGATGTCCCCATGATGGTCTTTTCGGCTTCAAAAACTCATCGGATTTGATTATGGATAGACCATTCAAGTCATGAATAATTGATTAGTAACATGTTTTACATATAGTAATTAGTTTTATATTTTTATATATTATATTGGAATCATTAATTCACTTATATTATTTATTTTTTTTATTCAACAACTTGGTTCTATCAAGTAAATGCTCTACAAAAATTATTGCAATTTTCAAAGAGCGGTTGGACATCCCCGGCTCCATATGAAAGTCTCTCTACATTAAGACGATAGACTTCTACTTTAATGAGTTTAGGATAACATATTAATTATTTACTTATATTTCATTTAAAGTATTAATTTAATATAAAATGTACTAATATTATTTTTTTCTTTGTGTCGAAGTTTTTTTTTATGGGATGCGATCATATACGCGTTGATTAAGGATGCACGAGAGAGTCCGGTATGGAGGCGGTATGGCGACATGCTAAAAAAATTGAAGAACAAGAATGACGAGACCCACGGATGTTAAACAACGAGTGTAGGAAACATGGCATTGGGATTTGGCCACACTCGAGTTTCAAGCTCGATCTTAACGGACATTCCGGAATCATATGTCGCAGATGAGTGGTGTCGGTGCTAGTCCATCTAGGCATACAAGGGGTTCATCTCTTTGATTAGGCACACTAAACGTTTGATATATCATATTATTCATTGTGTTATAAATTAGTTTTTGTATTTATTACATCTCATATTATTTTGTCTATTTTTTTCAACATAATAAATTGGGTTGTAATCCAAATTCTTACGGGTTGTTTGTGACCATTCACAAGAAGAAAGATGGGTCATTCATTGACCGAGATCTCAAAAAATAATGGTAAGTTTTTTATTTTTGTAAATATATATCTATCAATACAATCTAAAAAATATATTTATGATTTAATATTACAACTATTTTAGTGACGCAGGAGCACGTGCGAATCAATATAAGAAACAACTGCTAAGAAGCGACGAAGAGGATAATTCATCATCTCTAAATATCGATATATCCAATATATATTTGGATACCGTAGGATGGTAGAAGAAGTAAAGAGTGTACAACCTCGGATAAAAAATGTCTCGAGTATGACTCTCGTTTTGGTGCTAGCTCCTCCTTTGTCACTTAATGGTATTTTGGTGGTAATATTCAAGAGATTTTTACACGGTACGAAGATAAAATCAAGAGGATGGAGATTACCATCCAAAAACATGCCGATCGATTCAGCATTCTATGAAGTCGGATGCAAATAGTAATGGGATTGTTATGGGACTTGTAGTAGATTCACGTCCTTCTTGCTAACCCCCAACAACTCAAGAGTCAGCCGTTCTTCTTAATAAAGCAGATTGGAAGATGATGCAGGAGATGATGATGTAGGAGATGATGAGGACTAAATTTCTTGTTTTTTTTTTATTTTAAAATTTTTAATGTTTTCATATACCTTAATGCATTTACATATTTATTTAATTTTAATGTATATTTATTTAATTTTATTAAATAATATATCATGTTTTAATAATGTGTTATTTTTAGTTGTTTATTATTACTATTAGCAATAAAATGCCTATTAATTTATATTTAATAATAAATAAAATTTTCTTTGTTTAGTGATGGATTAGCGACAAAAATTAAACCATTTTGCAACGGACGCTTATATGATTTCTAAATAGCAATAGATTTAGTGACGGATACGCAAGAAATTTTAGCGAGAACAACTTAGCGATGAAAATTCCGTCGCTATTTAGTGACGAAAATAGTGAATTAGTAACGATTTTGCGATAAATACGAGATTAGAAAAATGACTATTTATTACGTTTTAGCGATGGAATTTCTACACATTAGTGAGAAATTTTTTTTCTCGCCGCTAAGAAAATAGCGATGATGACTTTTGGTATAGAAAGTGTGTTGTCACAAATCCATCGCTAAGGATAAATAGCGATGAAAAAATCTGTTGCTATTTTTTGTTTTTCTCGTAGTGTTTCTTATGTTGCGTTTTATTAAGGTTAAAAATTGGAGGTCAAATATTAAGGGATTAAAAGGTTAAGAGCGTAAAGCGTAAAGATATGGTTGAATGATAAATGATTAATAAAGTTTTGTAGGAGTGTAAAAATTATACCTAATGGGGATATCCAATTTATTTTTAAATCAAAAGTTTAAATTAAATATAATAATATATAATATACAATATATATTTTTGGAATATGCGTAGAAAAAAAGGAAAAAAAAACGTAATTATGAGATGAGATGGAAAAATGCACGGGACATTTTTTTTAGCAGGACTTTAATAGCCTTCGACAGATGTTTTAGGTGTGTTTTTGCCACAATAAAATTAATCTTCTTTAATTTTACTAGGTGATAGCCTGATAGGCCCCTAATGTACAAAAAATTAAAAATAAACTACGATGTTGCATTTTGTTGCTATCAAATAATAATTTTCTTGATTTTAGCTTCTTAAAATAATTCTAAGAAACACATCAATTTTCGTTTTTACAAATTACAGTATATAATATACAATATATATTTTTGGAATACGTGTAGAAAAAAAGGAAAAAAAAATGCAATTATGAGATGAGATGGAAAAATGCATGGGATAAGTTTTTAGCAGGACTTTAATAGCCTTCCACAGATGTTTTAGGAGTGCTTTTGCCGCAATAAAATTAATCTTCTTTAATTTTACTAGGTGATAGCCTGATAGGCCCCTAATGTACAAAAAATTAAAAATAAATTACAATTTTGCATTTTTTTGCTATGAAATAATAATTTTCTTGATTTTTGCTTCTTCTTAAAATAATTCTAAGAAACAGATCAATTTTCGTTTTTACAAATTACCTATAAATTAGTATTTTGAATTTTGAGTCTTGTCATTGACATTGTTACATATGAATAGGAAAATCTAATAATTTAAGTTTATTAAACATTACTAAATATTTTAAGTGTTTACCCGATTGATAAACATATTTTTAAATGAAATATTTCTTTTCCCAATAAATTAGGTTAGTTATCAATAAGGGTATACTTGTCATTCAGAAAAAAATAATAACAATATTTCATGGCTATTTTTATTTTAAAGAAGTTGATTAAATTAATGTAATGTAATTAAAAGTCTACCAGTGGAGGTAATTGAAGAAGTTTTAATGCTCTTTAATAAGTCGATTTGACAAAACTTTATAATAATTGTGAATTTTGTTGGGCGCCAAATGTTGACGAGAACCCAAAATTCAATGAAGGCAATCAATGCTATCACTAGCCGTATCAAACTTAATACCTACTGGTGGATACCGATAGGTGTTCATTACATTTTGATATACTCTCTTTTTTAAATTAAAGAAATTGTCTTTTTTATTTATTTATATATTTTTTTTAAAATTGTCCGATAAAAAATTTAAATAATATATTTTTTAAAATATGCTTAATCATAAAAAAATTCATTAAATCAATATTCTTTATACTTCCTCTTTATACGTATAATTAACTTTGACATAAAAAATTTTTTACATGAAAAATATTAATTCTTATAAGGATTTTATGATATGCCAAAATATTGGGAGTAAAATATTTTCATTAATATGTTATTTTTTCATAATTTGTTTTTTAAAATTTGATAGCCAATAATTAAATTAATAAATTTTTATATTTACCACCTTAATTTTGGATACATTTTCTCTTTAAATTAATATTGGCTTTATGCAATGCCAAATTAAATTTGATAACTAATAATTTTAAGAAAAAAATATTTGAAAAAATATAAATAAAAAATACTTATATGTAATAACAATTAATAACTTTTTTAAACTATGAAAAGTCAAAGAAGACAATATTTTTAGGTAGGAGGGACTAATAAACTTTCGAATTTGCTAAGCTGGAAAATCTTCAAGACTTTATTAACACCAATAAAATAAAATAAAAAAAGTTTCTTCTTTGGGGTTTGGCTATTTCTTTTTGGAATTTGGAATTTTTATATTTTATTGAATGAAAATTTGAGATTTATCTAATTATTGGTTTAGGTTATAGAAAGAAAATTCATTGGACCAAAAATACTACATATAAGTCCAACCAATAACTTTTAGCAACAAGGCATAATTACGTTTGATCAATCCAATGAATCATTTCGACTTTTAGTAACAAGAAAATTCTTGCTCCTTTCGCTACTTTATTAAGTTTGGAATTGTCCATCTCTTTATCTATGGAAGAAAAGTTATTCTGATTATCTAATTCTAAAGCTCAGAAAAAAAGAAGAGGAAAGATCATCCCTAAAGATGAGGTTAATGCAAATACATTGAACTTTTGTAACAATGTTTATAATATGGTAAAATAAAAACGGCAACAGGAGAATTCGAACGTCTATGGTTCAAATCCTTAACCCCAAGTCCTATGCTAGTGTTGAAGGACCGCATCCGGTGAATCCTACCCACTTCACAATGCATTGATCGCTATTTTGCTCTTGACAACAAGCGTATGCAAAAAGAAGCATTGCTTGCCCATGTTTCATCTTAACTAAGTACTTGATGCAACGTAATTTCCCTATATAGGAATAGGAATTTCTTCTATGAACCTTAATTTAGGAATCTATTCCTTAGTTTTTCTTATCTATTAAATAAATTAACTGTTTTAAAGAAGTGATCAGCACCAAGCCACCAACCCCTTGTTTTTACGACTTATAACTTGATTTCTTCATTTCTTCGAGCTATCCTAGTTTGATTTTGTGAACGAGAGAGCTGAAAGCTTCAGTCCTTCATGGTAAGTGACAATTATCATATTGTTTGCTAATGCCAAGACCCCAGCTGAGTGGTCATGGTGGTTGGTGATTGGTGGTTGCTATTAGAGGAGGCTATAGAATAAACATGCTTTGTGGTTTTAGTGTGTTATAATACTTTTCTTAGAGAAAAATATTGGTATACATTATGTTGCTAATTCTTCTCTTTTCTGGCTTCTTGAATATATAGGAAATTAATGAGGCGAGTAGTGGAATTGAAGAGTACTATGACTGGAAAGGGCAGAAGGCAGATCCTAAAAAGCATGGCGGAATGAGAGCTGCTAGCGTGGCCTGTGGTAACTATTAGTACCATTATTATGTTTTCCTTTTCATGTCGAATTGGATTTGTTTATGTTTTGGTGCTCTTTCACAAACTTCGCCCAGATCTTTGAAGCCATGAATCCTGAGCCATAAAGCACTTCCTAAAGTCAAATCTCTTCGTTTTTTCAAGCCCAAGGTTTACAAATAGTACATCAAAGTTAGTGGTATTTAATAAATAAAGATAGCAGTATAGGTTTGGTCTTTTTTTTTTTTAAAAGTGTAGCTCAAGAGAAAAAAGTTTACATTTAGAGATCAAATAAAGTACTAGTAATGGTTTAAGCTCAATCATACTCTCCCAGCAAAATAAGGGAAGGGATATATACCTGAGTTTGAGTTCTGAAATTGCTTAAAATTTTTTTTATCAAACAAAAGTAGCTATGAGATGTGGTTTATTGTCAATTAAAACAAACAACATTAGACACGTCTAACAAAATTAAAGTTGCCTATACAAGAAAGATTGTTGATCATCAATGTAATTTACTTTTGTCCAGTTGTGGAGGTATTAGAGAACATGGTTTTCCTGTCGAATGCCACGAACTTTGTCCCATACTTCATTAAGTCAATGCATTACCCTATTGCTGAAGCTGCTAACATGGTAACTAATTTCATGGGAACCTCTTTTCTGCTCACAATATTTGGTGGGTTCATCAGCGACTCTTTCTTCACCAGATTCAGGACTTTCGTTATCTTCTGCATAATAGAGCTCCTGGTATACAGCTAGCCCCGTTACCCCCTTTTTGTTTTGATCAAGTTAAATGCAACCAGGGAATTTAACAATTTGTTTGTGTCTAATTCATGGAATATATATAGGGGATAATATTGTTAACAGTTCAAGCTCATGATACTCGATTGCAACCAGCATTATATGAAAGGCCTTCTCATTCTCAAGCTGCTGTTCTTTTTAGTGGACTTTATGCTATTGCGACAGGAGTTGGTGGAATCAAGGCTGCCTTGCCTGCACATGGTGCTGATCAGATTGACCATAGCAACCAGCGGTCCGTTTCCTCATTTTTCAGTTGGTTCTTCTTCTCCTTATGCACAGGAGGCCTCCTGTCCTCAACTGTTATGATATGGATTGAAGAGAACCGAGGTTGGAATTGGAGTTTTATAATATCAGTAGTTCTCTTGAGTTTGGCACTTTGCATTTTCATTGCAGGGTTTCCAATTTTTAGGTTCAAACGACCTGATGGTAGTCCAATTACAAGAATCTTTAAGGTAGACAAGTTTGCAGCAAACATTGATCCATTACTCAGTCAATCTATTAGATGCTAATTATTTAGGCACCTCTTTTCTTGGGCATTTGTTGCATTTAGTAGGTATTTGCTTCTGCTTCTCGGAACCGGAAACGCTCATCAGTACCAATTCTGAGGAATGATGAAGTTGATAGAAGTTCCCACAAGAAGTTCAGGTAGATTTTACTTTGTCCTTCACAGCATGGTTTTTAATATTTGGTTATACTTGAAGTTCTACTTCCCGACTGCTCTTTCAAATCTTTGGATATAGTCTGTTCTGAACAATGTAATATGCAGGTTCTTAGACAAGGCATTATTTGAAGACACTACTAGTGCAGTTCATGTTAAGGAAACAAAGACCTTCCTTGGCCTGCTTCCCATCTTTGGTAGCACAATCATGATGAACTGTTGCCTGGCCCAATTACAGACACTTTCAGTGGAACAAGGGAGCATCATGAATAGAAAACTAAACAATTTCCAAATCCCTACCCAGTCATTGACGGTGTTTCCCCTCTTAGTCATGCTTGCTAGCATACCTATATTCGAACATGTTGCAAGCACTTTCAAAAACAAAATTTCAGAAAACCATTACATTTTCAAACCACTCAAGAGGATTGGACTTGGGTTAGCACTAGCATCAGCATCCATGGCCGTGGCTGCTATTGTTGAGTTTAAGAGACGTGAAGCAGCAGAGAATTTTCACACATTGTCTGTGTTTTGGCTAGGGTGGCAGTACCTTTTGTTAGGTGTTTCAGATATGCTCACTCTTGAGGGGATGCTAGAATTTTTCTACTCAGAAGCACCAGATAGCATGAGAAGTATTTGCACTGCATTGTCATGGTGCTCTACCTCCATGGGGTTCTTCCTTAGCTCCATACTAGTGTCCATAACCAACTCTGTTACTGGCAAATTGGGTCATGAATGGCTTGGAGGACATAATATGAACCACAACCGGCTGGATCTATTTTACACAATTCTTTGTATTCTCAATTTCCTGAATTTGCTTAATTATATTTACTGGGCTAAGAAGTATTAGGGCCTTCGAGAGCTTATAGCCTCGTTTGTTAGTCCCTGAGCAGGTGGCTCCTTGAAAATGATGCTCATATTTCTTTCTTTATCTATGAATAAGACCTTGATATAAATCTTTAGAAGGGATGAAATATATACTCTGCTTGGTCTTAACTCTTCATTGCAATCAAACTAAAATGGTAAACATCACAATGGAGCTTTCAATTATAGTTTGTTTGCCCATAGGGGCCGAAGGTTTTTCTTTATGACTGAAAATTGATGCTTCTATAGAAAAAGGATCCATAATTCTATGCCCCACGAGTTCATCCTTCTTGCTGCGGTACTTGACAGGTTGAATCAATTTGAAAGATGTCTCCTACTACAGCTGGATGATAGATGGCTTACCATCTACTAATTAAGTTTTACTATCCTAGTCATTACCGATTATTGTCTGTTAATCACACCAAACTAACATGATGAGAAGTCCATAAAAAAAAAAAATTATATATATATATAAGTGTTATTTTAAGAATAAAAGAGAGATCATAGTCTTTTATACATATCATTCGAACTTTGAAGTCTTTATATAGGAAAATACATAACGAAGTAATAATTGTCGCTACCCGACGTCGGACAAGACTCCTAAAAAATCATCTCTATATCTCTAGTTTAAGATTTTATTTATTTACGAGTTTGGAGTCGCTACTTAGTATTGAAGGAACTACGAACCTAACATAGACACTCTGGTTTAGAGATTCTATGGTAAAGAGTTAGTTACGCTTATAGGAAGATATTTAATCACCTAAAAGCGTTCTTTTCTAAGAAAGGTACCATGTCTAGTCTAGTCCTAAATTCATCTCTTAAAGTGTTTTATTTTTTTAAAATTATTTTTCAATTTAAAACTCCAACTTTTCAAGTGCTTTATTTTAAGCCAAATTAAGTTTTTTATTTTTGAGCGTTACATCGTATTGAAACGATTGTTGAACCCCTTTTGTTGGGAGACATGTCGGTTCAAACATTGAATCCACTTTTTTTAGTCTCGACATAACCGGTATGTCGGAGAACACTTGTTTATTAAAATGAATTTTTTTTGCTAACAATAGTCCCTATCATATAGAAGATTTTGTTAAAAGTTTTATATATTTTTTTTCATTTTTCTTTCTTTATTTTTTTATTTTATTTTTAGTGAAAGATTGTCATCGATCCTTAAAGAATTAGGAGATTTGAGAATCTACTACCTATTACTTACCGAGCCTAATTATTAAACAAATAATTTAAAGCTACATGAATTAAATAAAAGAAGAAAATTCAAATACTAAAATTTAAATTAATAACGTGACATGCATAAAATAAATTCAAGGGTAAATTAAAACAATTACAAAATATTAAAATAAAAAATTCTAAATTAATATAAACTAACTAAAATGCATAAATAAACTTAAAATTAAAATTACATTAACTAAAATAATTAAAGAAGATTCAATACTTAAATTAATTACTTTCAAAAATGCATAAATAAAGAGCACTTATTTTTTCTTCTTTTTCTTTTTCTTTCTTTTTTTTTTTTTAATGTTTTTTGGGTTTATCCAAGTCTAGCCCAAATTTTTTTTTTTAAAATTTTCCAACTCGGGTTGGAACTTTAGTCTAGCCCACTAACCGTGGGTTGGGCCACCACTTTTTTTTTTTTTTTTTTTAAAAAACAAACCCAAAGACAAAAATCAATCTCCATTTCAAAATAACTTAGATCAAAAGCCCCATTTTTTTAATTTTCTATCCTCCTCTCTCTTTCTCGTTTCTCTTTCTTCTTCTTCTTCTTCCTCCTCCTCCTTTCTCTATACCCAATCGCCATAGGATGAACCAGTGGTGGTTCATCCCTATTTCTCCTCCTTTTCTTTCTTCTTCTTTTTTCTCTTTCCTTTTCCCCATTTCTTCTTCTTCTTCTTCTTTCTCTCTCAAATCGAATCGCCATGGACGAACCAGTGGTGGTTCGTCCATGGCCACCTAATTCCTTCCCTTTTTTTGCTTTCCTTCCTTTCTCCCTTCCTTTCTTTCTTCCTAAACGTCTTAATTCCTCTCCGGATTGAAAATCCCAAATCAATTTTTTTCAAAAAATTCCTAATTTGGTCGAACCTAAGTTTTGATTTTCCTTTAAAATTTTCTTTCAATTAGACCTAATTGACTTAATTTCAAGTGAAATCAATTCAATTCAAACCCTTTAGGACTCAAAATTTTGAAAACCCCCAAATCAATTTGTTCAAAAATTATCAAGAACCCTAGGTTTAAATTGACATCAATTCGGCTTCAATTTGGGGTTTAAACCCCAAATTAAAATTGCAATTGCCTTCAATTAGGTTTAATTTGTCCTTCCTAAACTCAATTTGCACCCAAATTCAAAAACACCTAAATTTCAAAACACAAACCTAACTTCGTCAAAACCGAAATTAACGAGAAATTAAATGGTATTACCTAGAAGGATGGATGAAAATGGGCATGGATTGCAACTTCAATTGGGGTAAATTCAATCTCTCTCCCTTTTTTGGATTTTTTTTCTTTTTTGCTACTAATTTTCCCCTTTTTCTTTCTTCCAATTTCGGGCTCGAATTTTGGACTTACTCGCCTCTCCTTTCTTTTGCTTGTGAATTATATATATGCATGAATGTTTGGTTCTCCACCATGATGGTGTGAGATTTTTTCTTCTACGGGATTGTCAAGTGGGAGGGTTGGATGGGACTTGGTTGTGGGCGATGGCGGTGGTGAGACTCGCTGGAAGTAAAGAAGGTCGTAGGGTGGTGTTGCGAAATTACAGCAGTAGGGGTGGGCTGTACGTGGGTGGCAATTACGGGACAAGTTGGAGTTATGTAGGATTGAGTTTATGGGTTGCATAAATTGTTGACCATGGAGAAGAGGTTATGGGCTGCAAATTGCAGCGAGTGAGGCTATTGAGTTGCTAGAGCCAAAAGGATGATGCAAGTTGAAATTCAAGGCTGAAACTAAGAACCAAATTGGTTCCTAGGGAAACCGAGTTATCGAGACTAGAGTTTTCCAAACTAAAATTTGGAATTGGTTCCTAAGGACAGCTGAAAATTTGTACATAAGATGGAGGGGAACTCGTCCCTCCCTTTGTTTTTTTTAATATGTAAAGATTGCAAATAATCAATAAAAATTCTTTTTTTCTTTTTTGTCTATTTTTCTTAATTAAAATTTTACTTATGTTAAGAATGAATTAAAAACAAAATAAAGCCAAAAACGAGTAAAATAAACTACGAAATAAAAAATGGATAAAAATTAGGGTATGACAATTGCCCTTCTTTGCAATGCTTACAATGCAAACGTTAATGGAAATGTGAATTTCGGAGTTGATTTTGTTTAGTGAGCTTGCAAAGAAGAAAATATGAAAAAAAAATTAAGATTTACAAAAATAATCTAGTTGAGGATGGAATTTCTACATGAATGCAATGACTTATTAAAACATAGTGCAATGGCCTTGTTGTTAAGGGTAGCCAACCACGAAAATTAAAAATGCGATACGTGGCTTTGTTATCAAATGACAATATGTCCTAAAAATTAAACATGTAATACGTGGCCTTGTTATCAATGGCAACCTATCTTGAAAATTAAACGTGCAATATAAGAGACTTAACTATGCAATACTCGACAAATAAATATGCAATACACGATCAACTTGGAAGGCGGCCAGCCTCGAAAAATTAAATATGCATTACATAGCCAACCCGAAGGGCGACCAACCTTGAAAAATTAAATATGCATTACATAACCAACTTAGAGGGCGACCAGATCGAAAAATTAAATATGCAATACACGACCAATCCCGAAAATTTAAATATGCATTACACAACAAACTTGTTGGGCGACCAACCCCGAAAAATAAATATGCATTACATGGTCAACTTGAAGGGCGACCAACTCTAAAAAATTAAATATGCGATACGTAACCAACTTGAAGGGCCACCAACCTTGAAAATTAAATATATATTACATGATCAACTTGGAGGGCGACCAATCCCGAAAAGTTAAATATGCGGTACATAACCAACTTGAACGGCGACCAACCCCGAAAAATTAAATATGCATTACATGGTCAACTTGGAGGGCGACCAACCCTAAAAAATTAAATATGTAATACACAACGACGACCAATCCTAAAAAATTAAATATCCATTACGTGGTTAACTTGAAGGGTGACTAATCCCGAAAAATTAAATATGCAATGATTGCTAGACAACTCTTCCTAAAACAATGAAGACATTAGGCAACCCTACTTAAATGATGAATTAAAATTAGGCAATTCCGCTTGAAAAAGATTGTTAGGTAACCCTACCTAAATGACTCGACTAATATAGGCAACTCTGCTTAAAAAATGAGAAGATCATTAGGCAACATTGCCTAAAATAGACAACCTTACCCGAAAATGAAAAGATCGTTAAGTAAGCCTACCTAAGTGATGAATTAAATTAGGCAACTCAGCTTGAAAAAAGAGAGTGATCGTTAGATAACCTTGTTTAGGACAATGAACTAAATTAGGCAACTTTACCCGAAAATGAGAAATTATTAGACAAACCTGCCTAAATGATGAACTAAGTGAGGCAACCTTGCTTGAAAATTAAGCTAAGTTTGGTGATCTTGCTTAAATATCAAAATGATTAATGGATAACCTTACCCGATAGAATGGTTTATTATGAGGCGATTTTGCTTCGAGAATTATTGTTAGGCAACTTTGCTTAAACAATGAGTTGAATTTGGCAACTCGCCTAAAATGGATGGTGTGGACAAATGTGAGTTCTCTTTTTTGAATTTTGAACTTGAATGATCGTTTCATGTTTTCATTTAAGCAAACATTCCCGAAATGTATCCATAAGGTTGATAGCAATGGTTAATTTCTTACCCGAGAGAAACAATAGGCTACCTCACCTTGTTAGCACTCAACTCCCCATTTGGTGCCTTGCTCGAACCTCTGTACTTGGATCATATCCTACAGATCTTGCTAAAATTTCCTTACCTCCTAGGCTT